GCGTGGAGGTGGTGGGCATCTGGCAGCCGAGGCAGTGGCTGCGCACGCGGATCCGGAGTTTCTTCATCCGCACCTTCCTCGACCACGACTTCAGCCTCAAGGACTTCACGCGCGGCTCCAAGCAGGTGAGTGCCCGCCCTCCACACCCCCACACAACCACAACCTGTCCTGCCCTGCCCTGCCCCTGCGGGGAGCGCTGGGCTGGCGCTGCCCCGGGCTGCTGGCGGGGTTGGCAGGGGGCTGTGCCCAGGCAGCCCTTTAGCTGGGCAGCTGGGGGTGCATTAGGTGGCCTGGGGGAGCCCTGCCCGACTAGAGAGGAGAATCCGTGAGCTCCAAAGGAGAGAGCTTGTGTGCGCCTCCTGGGCAAAGGGTGTGTTGGTTGTTTCATCTCGTAAGCAGATGGGGTTCTTTGGAGGAAGGGTGTTTGTACACGAAAGCTTGCGAAGAACAATTTTCCCAACTGTTTAGTTGGTTTAATAAAAGGTATTGCATTTCCCCAAAGGACCTTGTCTGCCTGGGGGAAGGAGAGCACCTACGCCTCAAGAAAAGGCAGGGCCATGTGTGCCCGTGACCCAGGCTTCTTCTACTCTTATCTCAGATCGCAGTAGATGTTTCCCAGCATGAAGATGTAGCAAGCAGCCAAACTAGAAAATGCCCATGCAGCTTTGATCTTCCCTTTCAGGCCATGTCCAGAGCACTGCTGGATGAATGTCCCTCTGCTGTCGGAGCACTTGTCTGTGCAGTTCTGCAGAACTCTGCTCTTTCCTCGTTCTGTTTTAACATCTTTAGAAAGCCGCCGTATGATACTGTGAGGCTCCGCGGACTCAGATCCAGCAAGCCTGCAGATGACCTCCATGTTTCCGTGGTCATTGAGCAGTCTCTGCATGGGGCCTTGTTGAGATCAGTGTATGGATGAAAAGCAGCTGGCAGAAGCTGAACCCAGGCAAGATGGAGGTGGCCTCTTAAAGATGGAACTGTTGCTGTAGCATAACTCGTTTGAGGGCATAACTTATTTGAGAGAGGACTCATCTGCGTCTTCTCTCAGTATTTAAGTTAATTTATAGCTTCTGTATCCTCTGGGAATCATTGCTGCTGCTCAGTTCTTTAATGGCATCTAAAATGCCTTTTTCCATCCATATGCCATCCTGCTGGAGAATGTCCTAGTCACAGTAATCTGTGATCTTGAGAACTGATTAATGTCATTCACCCTACTTGAAGGACACATGCGCAGAATATAGCATCCTGCTTCCACAGCAGAACAAGCTATTAGCAATAAACCAGCTTGGTTCACTGCTCATTATTTTAGAACGCAGGTCATGTTCAAGGGCTTAGTTCTCATCTTTAAGACCAAAGGAATTGACTGAAGATATTGATTAGTAAAGTGTATTAGTAAAAATATATCCCTTGGCGAGTCATACAGGCAGTGACACTGCCATGTGTAAAATGGGGAGACAGACTTGGGCAGTCTGCCAAGAAAACTCTTGAAGGATGCACAACTTGTCAGACTCTGTTTTCAGACCAAACAATTAAAATTTGGTAGTTTGTGTTACCTCTTTCACAGTCACAACCACAAAGTAGTTTGGGGACAGGGATTTCTAGTTGCTTCTTCATGGCAAAGTAAAAATTAGTCTCTTTTGGAAGAACTCTGTACAGTGCTGTTTTGGTGTGTGAGAAGGACTAAAATACTGATGAATAAAATGAATACTGCAAAAGCATTAACATCTTCAAATACCTATAAATTGTTCTGTCCTAGGATGGTATGAAATTGCTCTTGAGGATAAGACTAGGGCACAATTCACTCTTGTTCCCTTTGTTTGGTACAAGCCTCATCTTCCATCTTTTGTATATTTCTCTTGCTATGCGCCTTTTATCAGATGTGCGGTAGTCAGTCTCTCCTCCTGGGATGCTAATCTGCTTTGTTAGCCTTCAGATTCCTCTAAGAATAACATATTTTGGATTCTTGCATTACTTCCTACTGAGGATGCAAGATGTAACAGAGCATTCATCTTTTTGTGTAAGCTCCGTTGTTGTCTTCTTTCTGTTGTGAAGCCCCAGCTGTATCGTTGATGCTTCATAAATAAGTCATTTGAATGCAGTATCACTATATAAAGCCGTATTGGCAAAATATGGGGGTAGCAGAAACTATTTGGGACAGTAACTGATTTTATAGACCAAGTTCTCTGTGTATTAAGGGTTTGGGAATGTTGTTGGGAAGAAAGCGGAGAGGGAGAGGATAAAATAATGTGTAGAAGAAATCTTAGAACACATAAGGTGCACTTGTTTTATAAGCATTGCTTGTTACTGAAAAACAAGCTGACTTGGAGTTAATGGAATATTTGCTCACATAGTTCTTTGTTTTATAGGCTTTTGCTCTTGTTTCAAACCAGCTGTCTCAATGTAAACTTGATCTCTTGGAAGAACTTGTAGCAAAAGAGGTAAATATGTCTGACCCCTTAATCTGTCAGCAAATTCCCAGTTAATAAAAACAGATGGTTCTAACTTGATCTAAAATGGGACAAATGCTGATCTGGAGAATGATGCATGATTTGTAGACGTAAGTTAAAGGAGAACATGCTGAATTGTAAGTTACTGTGTAAGGCAATCTGTTAAGTTATTCTTAGCCCTAGGGAAATGAAAGAAATGCCAGAAAAAGACCACTGAAGTACCAAAAAGGGACTATAAGGATGTAATCATTACAAGTGAAGGTAGATAACATAGGAAAGACTTCAAACAATTTGCCCAGGTGAGCAGATGCTTGCAAGTTCCTTCTGTGTGACTTGAAGTTCCACCACTACTAATCACTGGCACCAAAGTGTAGAAAAACATGCTGTCATGGGAGTGCTCTTCTGTGAATCCACCTGTCTAATTGGTATTTGTCTCCTTGGACATGTTCCTAATTTTCTAAACTGAAGACTTCAGTTTTGCATCAGGACCTTGAGGTAGCAAAACCAGCTAATAAATCCTTTACTGGTGCAAGTCCTGTGTTCCAGTGAGTTCTTAACTACCTGGATTGTGGTCTGGATCACCTCTGGAAAGGGCTGGCACAGACTCTGAAGAGTCTTCTGGAACACAGGTAGCTTCCCATTTTTTTTTCCATCCCAACTCCAGGGGTTTAGCAAGCATTTATAAAGTCCAGCCAGAACTGAAGAGGAACAACCAGCTATCAGAAAAGGAGAATATGTGAGGAGCCCTCAAAGGAGAGGAGAAAAGGAAGTGGTTATCAGTAGCCTATCTGTACTCTGAGCTGATGGAGGCTGAAACTTTGATACCATGATTAGAGCAAGGGTAGGGTAGTACAGCTACTTTGATTCTGGTCTTGCTGGCTGACCTCATGTTGCAGATTGGACTTCTTGTAGATTAGGTTGCGCATTAAATGAGGCAGGGAATCTCTGCAGCTTGGAAAGAAGCAACAGCAGCTCAGGCACAGGTTAAAGCTCCCTGGTCCCAGGGTACCTCCTTGCTGCTCAGCCTTGGTATAGGCACAGGCACAGACAAAGCCCCATGGTTCCACAGGCTGGATCCAGTGGTTCTGTGGGCCAGATGTTGCTGACCCCTAATATAAGTTGCCTCTTTTTGGAGGAAGAGTCTTCATTTTAATAGTATTCCTTTTTTACATATCAGTATTAGGGCTATAAAAGATTTTAAAATTTGATCACGATTACTTGTGCGATTTTAAAAAAAACAACTATAAAAACTCAAAATTATAAGCAGAAAACTCAGTTATGGAAAATTATGCAGGTACTTTGTATGGTTGGGGGTAGGGGGAAGGCACATGGGGGAGGGAAGGGGTCAGGTGGGCAATTGAGGTCCCCATGGTGAGGGAGGGAGTGGGGCAGAGGTAGGGGCACAGGTGAATGGGACCTAGGCTCTGTCCTAGGACCAGCCCCAGGGCCCTATTCACCCTGCCTCTGCCCCATTCTCTCACCATGGGAGCCTCAATCTGCCCTCCACACCACTTTCCTCCTCCACTCCCCTTCCTTTTAACAGACTTGCCTGTTGGGCACTGCTCTACACGCTGCTGGGCTGTGTTCCTGGCTGCCTGCAGGCTGCAGCTAGCTGCATGTCTGTGCGCCCC